AGAGGAAGTGAAATGCATGACACTGGCATTGTGCTGTAGCCTTAGGCTTTTTATTGACTTTCTGGTGGTATGGCAGGAGGAGGACTATCTGCTCCTGGGTGGTAGTTTACCATAGGTAACTGAAACTAGTTAAGGGCGGACATGGGGAATCTCCTACACAAACTTCCATTTATAAGATAAAAAAGTTCTGAGGATGTAATGTACTGCATGGTGACTATAGTTAATACTATATTTTATGTTGGAAATTACTAAGTATGATCTTAAATAAAACTAATCATTAGATGAGAATAGACTGAGCTGTGAGGGGTAAGGTGGTAGAATGGAAAACATTTGGGAGACAATAATTGGAATTTGTAGAAAAGAGAAATAGTAAGAGTATCAGGAGCTGTAAACATTGTTCTTCCCTTTAATAATAGCACTTTTGTATTGTGGCTAAAGTAAATCAATTTTGGCCATTTGTTAGGTTAATTAAAGTGATGTTCTTACTGTGTCATTTTTTTCTTTCCTTTTTTTTTGCCCACCCCCACTCGTTTTTTTCTTTTATGCTAAAATGAGTTATGAGACTTTTATGTGTCCTTAAAGTGTCCTTTAATTTTTTTATTCTGTAATTTTGAGGGTCTTTTAGCACACATAGAAGCATTTGCACACATGCAGAAACCCATTTTTACTCAATATTTACTCAGTACCTTCTTTCACTGTGATACTGCTCTTGAAACTATCCTATGTTCTAAACATCAGGTCAGGCTTGATCTCATTCTTTGAGGAGCTTACAGTGGGAATTTCAGGGATTGTTGTGTATACTGTTGGCAACCTAACACAAGGAGAATTTTACTCTAGGCTCTGGGAAGAATTTTCATCCTTACCGAAAAACAAACAATGAGAAAGTCTTTTACTATTGCCCTTTCGTTTCTGTTTTGGATACTGGTGTGAGAAATGATATCTGAAACTGAAACTTGTGACTAAGAGGCTGTAATAAGCCTTTGCACCAAAGCCAGTATGTGGTAGATGAAGGAACAGCAGAAGAGTTTGGTCATTCCAGAGACACTTCAAACATAAACTTACCATACGACCCAGCAGTCCTACACCTTAAAGCAATTTCATCCTAAGTTATATCAGAAGAGAGAGATTTAGAACACTATCTCTTGTCTTGACTATCACCAAAGGCTGTGTGTGTTTTAACTTTAAAATTTAATTATTTACATGCCTCATTTTGATGGTGCCAGTATATGAGAATCTGAAATCAAAGATAGTAATTCAGTAATTTATTTTCTCTTAGTAGATTCACAGCTATAATTCTTTAAACATTTTCTGTGGTGGTTTTATAATGTGACTCAATTTTTTTAGACTTCATGCAGCTTCTCAAAATACGTATTACATAAAGCAATAAATTCACTTTAGTAATTTCATTCATGATAGAAGACCATGCCTATTTCCTCTGTAAAGCATTTGTTGCTGCCTTAGAGTGACTTTGAGCCAGATGAACCCTTGGTTTTGGCCTATTTCTTTTGTATGTTGGCTCAGAGTGGTAGTTTCTAGAAACCTAAGTTTCTAAGGTATCTTCTAGAGCAGTCTGTGAAGCAAAACTTTTCACTGACCACTGTTGAAGATAGCCATATGCTTCAACTCTGTCATAAACTGGCAGATTTGGCATCAGTTCCCTACTCACGATTTGATGAATTAGATTTTAAAAATTTTACTTTTAGCAATAATTCTTTAGCCTGCTAAAAAGGCCTTATAATTTTCCAGCCAAGAAAGCTATGTGGATAAATCTGCTTTTATTCACAAAGTGTGGCTTTATTAATGGAGTGATGCCTTCTGGGAAGTGTTAAACCATTTCCTGAAATGAATTATAACTTTTGATTACAAAGAATATATGGAGTGTTATACTTGAAAAAATATCTTTCCTCTTAATTCAGGCATGCTTAAATTCATAGAAATTATTAGAATTAAGCTTCTTAAGGAACTTGCTGGCGTGATTCTAAAATTTTATCATAACGTTTACATGTTTAATAAATAAGTTACAAGTAATTGCCAAATAGCTTATTTACCAGAAAAAGAAACCTCTCCTTATTGCATTTATGTAATTTCTCTCCCTCCTTCCTTTAGTTGACATACAATACTTTGTTTCAGGTGTACAACATAGTGATTTAGCAATTATATCCATTATAAAATGCTCACCACAATAATTGTAGTTACCATCTGTCACCATATAAAAGTACTACAATATTATTGACTACATTCCTTATGCTGTACTTTTCATCCTTGTGATCTACTTATTTTATAACTGAAAGTTTGTATCTCTTATTAATCTCCTTTGCCTATTTTGCTCCCTCCTGTGTGGTAGCCACCAGTTTGTTCTATTTATGAATCTGGCTTTTTGTTTGTTTATACATTTGTTTTTTTAAGTAGGCTCCACAACCAGTCTGGAGCCCAGTGTGAGGCTTGAGCTCAAAATCCTGAGATCAAGACCTTAGCTGAGATCAAGAGTCGACTGAGCCCCCTAGGCACTCTTTTTCTTTTGTTTTTTAGATTCCACATATAAATGAAATACAGTATTTGTCTTTCTCTGTCTGACCTATTTCACTTAGCATAATACCTTCTAGGTCCATACATGTTGTTACAAACTGGCAAGATTCCATTCTTTTTAGTGACTAATATTTCATTACACACACACACACACACACACACACACACACTACCCATCTTCTTTATCCATTCATACCTATCGATGGGCATTTAAGTTGCTTCCACATCTTGGGTTTTGTAAATAATACTACATAGACATAGAGGTGCATATATCTTTTCAAATTAGTGTTTTTGTTTTCTTCAGGTAAATACGCAGAAGTGGAATTACTGGGTCATATGGTATTTCTATTTTTAATTTTTTGAGGAATCTTTATTCTGTTTTCCGTAATTGCCACACCCATTTACATTCCCACTAACAGTATACAGGGGTTTCTTTTTCTCCACATCCTTGCCAACACTTATTATTTCTTGTCTTTTTTTTTTTTTTTTTTAAGATTTTACTTTTAAGTAAAATGCTCCATGCTCTGTACTGAGCATGGAGCTTGAACTCATAACCTTAAGATCAAGAATTGCATGCTCTACTGACTGAGCTAGCCAGGCACCCCATTTCTTGTCTTTTTGATACTACCTATAGCTATTCTGATTAGTGTGAAGTGATCTCATTGTGGTTTTAATTTGCATTTCCCTGATTAGTAATATTGAGCCTCTTTTCATATCAAGACAAGCCGATGCTTGTCTTTGAAAAAAATATCTATTCAGATTTTCTCCCCATTTTTTAATCAGGTTATTTGGGTTTTTTTTGGCATTGATTTGTGTGAGTTCTTTATATATTTTGAGTATTAACCCTTATTGGATATATCATTTATACATATCTTCTCTCATTCAGTAGATTGCCTTTTTGTTTCATTGATGGTTTCCTTTGCTGTGCAAAAGCTTTTTAGTTTAGTCCCTATAGTTAATTATTTTTTTTTAAAGATTTTATTTATTCATGAGGGGGAGAGAGAGAGAGAGGGGGGGCAGAGACATAGGCAAAGGGAGAAGCAGACTCCATGCAGGGAGCCTGATGTGGGACTTGATCCCAGGACTCCAAGATCACGCCCTGGGCCAAAGGCAGGCGCTAAACCGCTGAGCCACCCAAGGATCCCCAGTTCAAATAGTTTATTTTTGCTTTTGTTTCCTTTGCCTAAGGAGACAGATCCAGAAAAATAGTGCTTAAGGCTGATAACCCAGAGTTTACTGCCTATGTGTGTATGTGTGTATTTAGGAGTTCTGTGTTTTAAAGTCTTACATTTAGATCTTTAATCTGTTTTGAGTTTATTTTTGTGTATGGTGCAAAAAAGTGGGCTTTCCCTCCCCTTTTTTTACTGTTAAAAAGAATAAGGATAAATCATATAGTTTGTCTTTTATTGCTATCTTTGGAAGTCATTTTTTATTTTACTTTTTAAAGATTTTATTTACTTGAAAGAGAGAGTGAGTGAGAGTGAGCTAGAGAGCACAAGCAGAGGGAGCAGCAGAGGTCAAGGGTAGCAGGAAGCCTGATTCGAGACTTGATCCCAGGACTCTGGGATCATGACCTGAGCGGAAGGCAGATGCTCAACCAACTGAGCTACCCCGGCATCCCTGGAAGTCATTAAAAAAAATAATAAAGTTAAAGTATAACTTAATGTTTACCTTGGATGTTCTATTTGACCTGGTCCTTGAACTAACTTTTTTTTTTTAATTTTTATTTATTTATGATAGTCACAGAGAGAGAAAAAGAGAGAGGCAGAGACATAGGCAGAGGGAGAAGCAGGCTCCATGCACCGGGAGCCCGATGTGGGATTCGATCCTGGGTCTCCAGGATCGCGCCCTGGGCCAAAGGCAGGCGCCAAACCGCTGCGCCACCCAGGGATCCCCTTGAACTAACTTTTTCATATGTCATCTGCTAGTAACTGAAAATAAATAATTTAATATCCTTGTGAAATGGAAATCCTAAGTATTCTGTTTTAACACTAGTGAATTGAAATGAAATAATGCTAGCTTCTTTGTAGATGAATTCTAAGAGTTTTTAGGGTTAATCAGGATTCTCTTGTACTATTTTGTGTAAATATTTGGTTATGTCATCAAAAATCTGTTTCTGTTAAACAAGACCATCATAATTGTTACTCAGTATTAAGTACCAATTATATGCAAGAAACTAAAGGAGATATGGCAAGATCTCTAACTTCAAAAGCTTATAATCAAATTGAATATTAAAGTACATATCACTATTATCTGGTGCGTGTTAAGTGGCAAATGAACACATAGTATACACAGTGGTGCTCCAAGTTTTAATGATGAATTGGTTATAAAAGGTTTCACAAGGGACATAGGATGTGAGTCAGGCCTTTAAGAGGCTATTCTAGGTATAAGGGCCAACAGTGGATGCTCCCTGTGTTTGGTAACTTTTTTTTGTTTTAGGTTTTTTTTTTGTTGTTTGTTTTGTTTTGTTTTAGGTTTTTATGTATTTATTTGAAAGAGAAAGAAGAGAGGGACAAGCAGGGGCGAGGGACCGAGAAAGGGAGAAGTATACTCTTCGCTGAGCAGGAAGCCTGATGCAGGACTCAATCCCAGGACCCTGGGATCATGACCCAAGCCAAAGGCAGATGCTTAACTGACTGAGCCACCCAGGTGCCCATATGTGGTAACTTTTTAATACAAGAATTTAAATAAGGAGTTTAATATTGAAGGGACTCCAATGACAAGCTAAAGAGTTTGCAGTTGGGAAGTAGAAAATAGTTTTGAGCAATGGGTGGTGATAAATAAAGGATTTTGAAAAATTTAATTGTTCAGTTAGTTTGATTTCTGAAATGAGGTGCCATATACTAGTAGTGTTAAATATTTATTCATCTTTCGTAATTATAGATTAGATCATGCTTATGTCCCATGCATAGATTAGAAAATTGGGATATCTTAAATTTATTTATTTATAAATTTATTTATTTATGATAGTCACAGAGAGAGAGAGAGAGAGAGAGAGAGGCGCAGAGACAGAGGCAGAGGGAGAAGCAGGCTCCATGCACCGGGAGCCCGATGTGGGATTCAATCCCGGGTCTCCAGGATCGCGCCCTGGGCCAAAGGCAGGCGCCAAACCGCTGCGCCACCCAGGGATCCCGAAAATTGGGATATCTTAAATTAGTATCTTATACTTACGTCCTTTTCTCAGCTGAACACGATTTTTGACTTTCTGCAGATTTCTAACCTGGCAAGTACTGTATGTTTTTCTATTACATGCAAGTATATATGGATAATGAAGGCTGTATGTGATTACTCTACCTAATGTTTCGTGAGTTTAAGTGCAATGGAGAAAGTTAATGACCAGCATTATAAAAATAACCTCCATCTGTTAGAGTGAGCACATATGAAAAATATGAAGAGTAATAGATAAGGTAGTACAGTTTTCGAAATCTTATAAATGAAACTATTACACTAGTGATAGTTTATGAAAATTTAGGAGTTAGCTGAATACTCAAAATTGTCTGGATAGGTTAAGATACATCTTTTTCCTGTCCTCAAATTTATAAGGCAATGGAAGAAAGAATAGGCTGACAGTTTCTCATACATGGACACATACATCGGTTCAGATAGGACTACCTAAAACATTTTATTTCCCTTTTCTTACTAATACTATTTGAAGGACTTTTAGTAAACAACAAAGATAATTGAAGGGTATTAGATACAGTTACAAAGCTTTAGTCTAGGACTGCTTAGTACCACTAGGGTTTTGGGAAGTCTTTTATAGAAGTCTGTGTCATCAGTAACTTGTTTTCGATTATGTTGTTGATGTCTGTGCTTGATAAATGGTGGGGATGGAGGGAGATGGTAGTAAGTAGCTTCCGTCCAAAGTTAAGAGATTTCAGGGGATCCCTGGGTGGCGCAGCAGTTTGGTGCCTGCCTTTGGCCCAGGGCGCGATCCTGGAAACCCGGGATCAAGTCCCACGTCAGGCTCCCGGTGCATGGAGCCTGCTTCTCCCTCTGCCTGTGTCTTTGCCTCTCTCTCTCTCTCTCTGTGACTATCATAAATTAAAAAAAAAAGAGAGAGATTTCAGTTGTCCTCAGTTTATTTAACTAGGCTTAACCCCACTGTATCTTTCTGTTGGCCAGTGATGAAAAAGGGAGCAAATAGCTTTCTTGTGGGTCATATGTACAGTACTAGAAAACAGATTTTATTTATGTATATATGTATGTAAATAGGCTCCCTGCCCAATGTGGAGGCCAATACAGGGCTTGAACTCATGACCCTGAAATCAACAGTTGGTTGCTTAACCAACTGAGCCACCCAGGTGCCCCAAGGACAGCATTTTATATTAAAGGCTTGTGTGTTCCCTTAGCTGCCATGGTCTGGTGCTTACTGAGCTTATGTTACCAGATGAATAACTAGCCCAGATGGTTAAACTGTTGGAGAATATAAAACCAAAACCCATTTCAGGAAACTATCCACTTTGTTCATTTTGGATAGGATCCATTCTAATTAGTGGTAACTTTCTGAATTTGTTTTAAAATTTAATTTTTAACTGTATGATTTCTTGATTTTTACCTAGGTTACAAAATATCCTCCTGTGCTTGAGATCCACAGACTACATGTCCTACAAGAACAAATCAATGATTTTTCATCTCGTGAAGATACATTAGAAACATAAATATGGTGCCAAAAGATCTCCTTACTTTTCTCTGACTACGGTTTATTTGGACATACTTTTGTATTGAAGAGAGGTATACAGACTGAGGCTACTCGTCCAGAGACGCTGTCGTGTAGGATCATGGACCATCCTAGTAGGGAGAAGGATGAAAGACAACGGACAACTAAACCTATGGCACAAAGGAGTACACACTGTTCCCGACCGTCTGGCTCCTCAACATCCTCTGGGGTTCTTATGGTGGGACCCAACTTCAGAGTTGGCAAGAAGATAGGGTGTGGGAACTTCGGAGAGCTCAGATTAGGTAAGAACTTGATTATATCAGCAGCTTCCTCCACCACCACCACCACCACCACCAGCAACAGCTATAATTAGCTTTGGTGTGTTTTAAGACAAGCAGTTATAATTTCATGAGAAATTCTTTTAAGGAGGGCCTGTCATTATAAAAACTAAAGAATTTGTGAAGGAGACTAAAGTCATTATCAGTTATAATTGTATCCTGGGTTCACCTCTGTTTGTGATAGACTTGTAAATTTACCACCAATTCTGAGATTTTATGATGTAGAGAGATCTGCATACAGATATCAATAAAATGAAAATTTTGATTTAATTGGTCTAAAAGGTACAGCCTTAAATTCTTTTTAACAAACTTTAGGTGACCTAGATGTTGTTGATCCTTGAACCATACTCTGAGAAGGGAGTAAGGCCTTACACTCTACCCCTGATAGGGGGTAAATCCTTACGGAATAATGCCTAGATTTAGTCTGTAAGGATATATATCCTGTTTAGAGAGGCTTTCTAGCTGATAATATGTTTGCATTTCTTCCTGGAAATACCAACATCAGGATTGAGCTAGAACTCCAGGGAGAAATTATGCAATTTTATTTCCCAACCAAGGAAATGGATTTTTAAATTTCAAGTATGAATCTATGACTATGATGATGAAAATTACAAAACCAACCAGTTTGAAGATGTGAAATGGGGAAGAAGATACAATAGGTATTTATAAATTTTTTTAATGCTCTTCCCTGGGTGAATTGGGAAGAGAAAATGAAAGATCTTACAAGTATATGAAGTTGGACAGCCCCATGGAGAATGTAAAGAGGTTCCCTTTTAGGCTAAAGTGTTTGCCCTTTCTCCATAGCTGTTATGGGTATGGGTTATTATGAAGACCCGTTGTAAGAGACTCTGGCCCCTGGGGAAATAGGAGCGTGTGAGGTAAGATGATTATTGTTTGTCACTTCTGCTACTTCTGATCTGCAAAAAAAGAAGGAAAAAATGTTGTCTCCGATCCCCCATAGAGATATTCAGGGAAGCATCACTACACTGGTGAGAGATCATTGGGTGCACAATTGAATTTAAGGATGCTGAGTATGAATTTATTTTTGCTGGTAGAAGGCCAGCAGCCTGAAATTTTAAGACCTGGCTAGTGTAATGGAAGGCTTTTTATATTTAGTGATATTCGAGTTAGCAAATCTAGCAGATGCTACTGAGAATAGGAGAAAAGATGTGTAATTTCACACTGCTTGAGTTCCTAGCAACTACTGAGTTGTTTTAGCAGCTAGTTTTGTGAATATTCATTTATATAATGGAGTGACTTTGCTCTAACATCACAGTAGTAACTTGAATTAAATAGATTATGACATAAACATCCACAGAATTACTACTGAGAGGCAGTTTGATGCATATAAATTCTTGCTTTCTCAGAACATCATAAAAGTGCTTGATTTCTCTAATGGTGAGAAAAAACTTAAGTGAAAACTGGAAATGTCTTAATTACTTAAGTCTGGCTTCATATTACATGATCTTTAGGTTTACGTAGGAATAGAAAAACTCACTGAGTTAAAAGGATAAATTTGTAGCCCATATGTATTTCAGAGTAGTAGAGTGTTGTATTTTATTTCCTCATATGAATTTAGGATAATTTGGTAGTTTTCATTTTGGCTTGCCTTGCGGTCAGTAGAAAGACTTGTCTTTCTTCTGAAGTGGTTTTAGTCTTGTGTGCTTATCAGGTTTCCTTGTCATGACATTAGGAATACTTCTTAGCAACAGAAACCAGAAAGGTACTTCCACAATCATTTGACATACATAGGGCATGCTATATAGTCCATTCCACTGCTCTTTAGCTGTGATATTGATAAGTAGGAGATTATGTGGACAACAGAAGATATAAATTAGGAAATTCCAAACTCAAAGCAGGTGCAGATGGGGGGCTTCACCAAGGCTACCACCTATAAGGCGATACTTTCTTCTGCAAATTCATTTCTTTAGCCACATTCTTTTATGGACCCTCAAACAGCCAAATGCATTTCTACTTCAGAACTTTTACACTTAAAGTTCCTTCTACTATAGAATTCTTCCAAAGTTTGCATAAGTGGTTGCTTCTCATCCTTCAGGCTTTATCCTTTGTTACCTTCTCAGAGAAACCTTCGGTAATTTCTCCCCCACCTCTATTTAAAATGGCACATTTCTCCCCTAGCTGTATTCTACCTCATCAAACATTTATTTTTTTTCATCACATTGATCACCACCTGAAATGATTTATTTGTATTTGTTTACCTGTTAATTATCCCTGCTTACTTGAATATAACCCCAATGGAAGGTGGGGATTCTATGTGTTATTTACTGTTGTTAATCTGTGCGATGGATGGATAGATGGCCAGATGAATTAGGAAGAATGAAAAACCCATGGCCTCCTTCAGGCTCCTGGCATCTGAGGGTGGTGGGAGGTAGTGGCCTTAGTACCACTGGATTTAGGTAGAGCTCTGGATTCCAGATAGAGAAACAAAGAAAATAGCACAATGATTAGTACATTTTAGTCTCTACAAACCTGTTTTCTACCCCATCATCCATTTAACAGATATTTCTTCAGTAATTACTATCTTACTAAACTTTGGAAAAGATAGAATAAACATGATGTAGTTTCTGTCCTTAAGAATCTCAGTCTCAAAAAAAAAAATAAAAAAAGAATCTCAATCTCACAGTGTAGTGACAGAAGAAAACAAATTATAATATGAATTGGTAGGTATTAGATTATATAAAAACTGTATTGGCAGAGGTTAATGAAGATTTCAAGAAGGAAGTATTATTTGAGAGTAGGACAGGACTTCCACTGGTTGGCCCAAGGAAAAAGGGCTCTCCAGCAGTAGTAGTGCAAAACATTATCGGAGTAGCTGCTAGTTACACATGACTGCATTAACAGACGTGAAGTGAAAGAAAAGTAATAGTTGAGCCTATTAAGTAGGTTAGGACCAGATTGTGAAGTGTCTGGATGGTATTAAAGCATTTGCACTTCATCCTATAGGCAGTGGAGTAGAATCATCAAGGGTTTTACAACAGAAAGAATGACATGATCTGGTTTGTATTCTAGATAGATAATTCAGATAGTTGTAAGATTAGATCAGATGGGAAAGAAATTGACATTCTTGTGGATTTTGCTCTAATTGTAGAATTTGTCACATTGTATTATCTTCCTCCATCTCTCTGCCTCAAGATTAGCTTGATTGGTAGTACTTTGCTTCATTAATCTTTATATTCTCGGCTCCTTTTACTGGGTATGGCATATAATGTGTACTTTAGAAATGTTAATGGATACTTAAGAAATGTTTGTTTGGCTTTGTACTCTAAATCAGAAATGGGTAGGCCTGCCTTAGCTCTTAGCTCTGAAAATGGCAGTGAGATGAAGAGGAAGGGATGAATTAGAAATTTCAGCAGTAGATTGTAGGCAGGATTTGAACCACCAGGTATTTGAGGGGAAGCTTTCAAAGATGAAATGAGTTTGCCAGCTTAGACCCAGTGAATGAGGAAACTTTTAATGGAATTAGGAAATATAGGACTAAAGTAGGTGATAGGAGGGCAGGTAGGTGAATATATTGAATTCGAGGGGTGTGTAGCACATAAACAAAAATGTGAGTCGGAGACTAAGAAAAGTTTAGGCTTCGTATAGGAATTAGGAAATCATCATCATGTAGGTGTTTGTGGACACGCAGTCCCAGAGGACGAGATGATACTTTACGGAGTTTGTATGAGTGGGAGAAAGATGCATTTAAGGGATGCTGGAAGAGGAAGAGCTTGAAGAGGAAAGAGGTTAAAAAGTCAGAAGAGTCTTTTAAATTTTACTTTAGAAGTTTCTTCAGGAGCGCCTGGCTGGCTTAGTCAGCAGAACATGCGATTCTTGATCTTGAGGTTGTGAGTTCGAGCCCCATGTTGGGTTTAGAGATTATTTAAAAATAAAATCTTAAAAAAAAAAAGTTTCTCCAAAGATAACCACTATTTTTATGTGATTAATTTTTTAGAATGTATATCAGGACATATTTGGAAATGTAATCAAATTGTACTATAAGCCTACTTTTATCACTTATTATAGCACAGACTTCTCAATTTAAATATAGGTAATTCTTTTTTTTTAAGAGATTGAGAGTGTGCACATGCGTGAGATAGGGGAGTAGGGACAGAGAAGGAATCTTAAGCAGGTTCCATACTCAGTGTGAAAGCCCTATATTGGTTCCATTTCTCGACTCGGAGATCATGACCTGAGCTGAAATCAAGAGTCAGATGCTTAACTGACTGAGCCATCCAGGCGCCCCTAGATCATTCAGTTTTAATGTCTGTAGTTATTCTGTAATTTATTTAGCCAATTTATATATGTATATAAATTGTTTTTTCATATTATAAATAACACTATATTGAGCATCCTTATAGATGCTTATAATACATCCTTGTAGTACAAACTTGGGTGATTATTTTCTTAGGATAAATCCTGAAAATATACACTCTGAGTCAAAGGAAATACATATCTGTGATTTTGTTGCATATTGTAAGTTAGCCCCCTAGAAAGATGATTTCTCTTTACTTTCTGCCTGTGTTTGCATAGGTGGTTCTTTCCCTACCCTTTCAAAAGCCTTGAACATTATTTAGAATCTTTTGATCTATGCCAGTCTGATACGGGGGAAATGGTGTCTCATTAAATGTGTATAAGTTCACATAAAATGTCTTTATACATTGATTTATATTTCTTCTTTTAAGAGTTGCTTCTTTGTGGTCTTTCCCTGTTTCTCAGTGGGAAGATTATTTCTGTGGAGTCTTCCCTGTGTATATTGCCTCAGTAGATAAGGGATTTTTGAGGATTTGAGAAAGGAAGATTGATGAAGGATGATTGTGAATAAAAGGTAGAAAGACATGATAGAGTGGAAATAGATGTGCAGATTGCCTTTTATTAATTGAGAAACACGGGGGCTATTTTGAGGGTTTTTTTTAAATTTTGAGTATTCTGCTGAATCAGGCCTAGAAAGACCATGTAAACAT